ACCTGACCTAGTGAATACTTGGGTTACCAGTTGGACTCCAGCGTTCGGAAGTCCATTTTCGTTCAAAAAAGGAATAAAACACCTCCTCAACGAAGTTCCTCAACGATCCCTTCCATTCAACACGACCACCGTGCTGACTGAGGCTTCTCTTGCTTGAGCCAGGCAAAAAAGTTACCAAACTCTTCCCCCAGGTTAGGATATTCACCCAGGAGCCGCACTTTGTTGGCACTTCTTCAGCTGTTGGTCTAGCCAGTAGCCTCATTACCCAACCGGAAACTTGCATCACATCACCGGCACGGATCTTCTTCACCCAGGGCACTGAGGGATCTTCACCAAGGACTCGGACTCCAAACGCTTCCGCAGATGGCGCTCCTCGGTGCGACGGCGGGTGCCAACGACCCCGGCGTGGCGTGGCGTAGGGGTGCAGCGGTCGTGCTGACGTCCTCCACCCGGTCGTTCCTTCCGGCCAGGAGCGCCCCGGCCCTTGGTGCTTGCTACTCGTCGTGATTCTTTGAAATATGTTGACGATGAAAGGATGGCGTGGGTTGAGTGGTGCAACAGTTAGCCACTCAACCATCCCAGTATATGACCAACTCAACCGAGAAAACGATGAACCTCGACCAACACCCCACGGTGATCAACCGTGATCCGGTGATCCGAACCGGATCCGAACCGGATCTGGAGCGGTCGACGGAAAAACCGCCACGGCGAGGAAAGCCCCCTTCTTCGAACCAGAAATTCCTTTCAGCCGGCGTCTCAAAAACACCAAACAACATAGTGCACCACTAGGCCAAAAGATCTTCCTGAAGAGTCCAAATGGACCTTTTCCGCTTTCAACCCTGCTGTCGACACTTGTGCCATCTCACGCGGTAGCATTTGTCCTCTCCAAAGCTGTGAAATGGACTCCTTAATTCGACTGTGGCTGACCCACATGAATGCTACAAGACCCACTAAAAGGAAGACACTTTCTTCCTCCTGTTTTCCTTTTATAACGGTACCAACAACTATACCAACATATATGCAAATGCCGGGCAATGAGGAGTGTCTTGTGTCACAGCGCCCCCGGAACTACACAAAGTGAAGTCCAAACACACCTCCCGCTGCCACATCTTTGGACCTCTTTCTCACGCACCGGTGCTGCCCGGTTTCGCATCTCCCGCTGCCAAGGTGCTGGATCCTTCAGCCAAGCTTTCACAGCTTTGCCATCGTTCAGCCAGGCCAAGGCCTTGGCCTCTGCCATGGCTGGAGAGATCTCCGCTTCACAGCGGTGTCGCTGGAGACAATGGTAGCGATGCACAGTCGGAATTGGGAAGAAACCAGGAGACCCTCTCAGCTGGTCTCTGATGGGGTGAAAAAAGGACAACATATCATGACTTAAGTTGAAGTGCAGCTGCATTGTGAAGAGGCTTCAATCTTCTCCGCGATCATGGTCTCAGCGATTGGGGGCAGGGAAACGCGGACGAAACTTTTGCTCTAGTAGGTTGGAGGCCATCGCTAGTCGGTTGGAGGCCATCACTATTAAAAACCAAGTCTCTTTTAAATCCTTTTTGACTGCTGCCATTGGCTCTGCCCTTTCCCCTCTCAATTTGTTTAAAACCTCGTCACAGCTCAGCTGGCATCTGCTCATCACAGTTCGTACTCTGAAAACGGCCTTGACCCAACGTTTTGATTGGCCTAAACAATCGAAACTGCTAAGATCGCTAGCAGCCGCTAGCATCTTTGCAGAATACGGCCACAGGATGCCAAATTCAGAGCTGTGACCCACCCCCAGGTTTTTCGAACCCACGAAGTGTTCGAGTGAGAACTTCAAACGTGTCGTGACTCTCATCCTTCATATTTCAATCACTAATAACTAGGCTGAAGCCAAAAAGGCTTTGGCCACATGCGGCTTCTTGGAGAACCCTCTTGCTGGGTCAGACCAGCCCAAAAGCCAACCACTTGGCAGTGACGCCCCGGTCCAAACGGTCCAAGAAGAATGACGGAAGTCCTCTATCAAAGAATCTCTCCGATGGATGAGTTTGTCATGTTTTCAAGCTTTTGCTCTGGTTCTCTTCATTGCTTAGGGTTTGGCCTACGACTCCTACAGGCCGAAAAAAGACTCCTGGCTCAGTTTGCTAAAGATCTGGCCAACAACACCAACTCAAGCATGTTCAATCATGATCTGGCACAGCACAGCAGTGTCAGCCAATCATCAAAACTGATTGGCTGTCATTCCAGAGATTATACTATTTTGAGGGGCCCACAGATGCTCGCACTTTGAGCCTTTTGAGGAAAGAACAAGAGGGGCACCAGAACTCCCAGGTACCTCCCGTTCGTGATCGGCGGCACCTCTAAGAGGGACGACCAAGGGGTGAAAAGCCATGCCCTACGAGCGATGGCCTTGGCTCCGTTCGTAGCGATGCCAGGAACCCCGTTCGTAGCGTCCGATCGCTCCTAATATTGGGTTCTACTTCAAAGACTCCATGGGCTTGGCATATTGACCTATATAGATGGACCCTGCCTCAACCACCCCAGGCCGTTTCTCGGTAGTCAGAACTGCTGGTCCCAGACAGGTCGTGTTTGGATATGAAATGCAGACAGGCCCATCACACTGCCGCTTTTCACACTCGTCGATTTGCAAGCTGTACATCGACAAAAGGCAAGCAATAACTTTAAAAATAATGCAACTCAATCAATGATCACTCACTACTTTACCAGTACTTTACAATGCAACTCAGCACCTTACCAGTCAGGCACTGATCACAGTGAGCCATCATTCATTTGCTCAAGCAACTCCTCTATGGACCAATGATGCGGGCGCACGCAGTGACGGCGCGCTTGGCACGAGAATCCTGAATTGGGATCACGCCCGCCTGCACCCCCTCACGGATATAGCACGGAAAAGGATAGCCAAGGTTATGGAGGAGAAAATCACGGGCATCCATGAGAAGGCAAAGTGCGATGACCCACTTTTGAAATGTCATGAACTTCACAAAATAGAAGTCGGCCTTTGTTCCATTCTCTGCTGGAGCTTCACTCATCATCATGACAAGAAAGAGCGGTCCGAAAGTGACCAAGTGGCACAATCCCAAAGCGCGTGTGAAAGGGATGCGTTCATCCAGCTTTCGTACAATGCACATGGCAGCCATGCGTGCGGAGAAGATCCCCCAGGCAGCTTTGTAGCCAAGAAGGCCAAAGGCTAAGCCACCAATCCACTGAGGAAAGCACATGATGGGTGCCCACACAAAGACCAGGTCTGCTGTGACACTGCCTACTTTGCCACACTTGATCAGCATATCACTATGATCCCTCACGACGACCACTTGACTCTCCACGATCCATTTCACCAGCGAGAGCATTTTTGCTTTGTTTGGCCGGCGTTGAACATAAAAGACACCTGAAGGCCTCGAGCCGAAATCCTCACGAGGTTCGGTTCGCATGGGCATATACATGCCTGGATCCAGTACATAGAACGACCGGATCAACTACCAGGACCCTGCCTTCAAGAGATGTCTATACATAGGCCTGAGGTAAAGGGGTGTCCAAAAACCACCAGTTGAAAGGTCATTGGAGTTCGAAAGGCTTTGAGGGGTTAGGCAATGCTGCACTTCTGCGGATGCCGACCGATCCTGGGATTGGTGCCCGTCCAGGCAGCCGGGTTCGAGACAATACACAGCCTTACAACCGCAAACATCAGGGGATTCCAGGCCGCAAAACCGACGACTCAATCCAGTTTCCACTCTCCTCCCGTTCAACGCCGCCCACTCCGCCGATCTCCGATCCCCGGCTTTTTGGGGCAGCATGGGTCCCGTGTTCCGTGGGAGAAGCGACATTTGTCGCCGCGAGAGCACCCTCGCGCGGAGAAGTAGTGCCGGCACACCGGTCCAGACCTTGGATCGATGGATGGCCGGTGTGTTGGCGCCACGAATGGCCGACGGATGGTGTGCAGTACGGCATCGCAGTAGGTTTGACCAACAAGTAGTTTTGACCAACAAACCAATACCAGGACCATCCGACCATCTGGAAAGAAACGATAGCTCGATTCCTCGCCTGTCCTGGCTGGACTACCCTACATTGCTTAGGGATCCACATGGAACACCCAAACAGGATGGTCCTGGTAGGTTAAGAACGGCAAGGCTCGTTATTGCCCCCCCCCCCACTCCTTCAGGCACCAAAGGTGTGTGTTCTAGGACAGAATGAGTTGAAAGGGCTTTGGCGATTTCTGTCATGGATGACCCACAAAAGATATGCAATCCGGGGCTATAGTATGCCATATAGGTATCTGATTCGATCCCATGTTTTGGACATTCTTCAAGCTCTGTAGCTATGCAGCCACGATCGCAAATAAAAACCAGAGAGTTTTGGAGAACTTATAGAACCAGGAAGTTCCAAGTCCATCCAGGAATTGCTTCTTAACATCAACAACACGCGTCTTGTTCTGCCCCAAGGGACGCTTCTTCCTCCTTCTCCTCTTCTGCCTCTTCCGCGCGCACGTACTGTCGCCTGGCAGCGAACGGTTGAGGGATAAGTCAGGCATGGCGATGTGTCAGTGTTCACTAAATTTAATAGCTTCTTAGTTACTACTAGTAAGGCACCTGTTACTACTAGCGTGGCACCTGTTACTACTAGCGTGGCACCTGTTACTACTTTCATGCCCCAAATGGTGGTACCTTTCTGCAGAGACTCACCTGCTTCTTTCATGGCTCGCTGCGGGCAGGAGGCGCAAGCGATCAAATCTTTTCGATCTTTCTCTTCCAACATGGCTCTCGGGTCCTATCCTTTTCCTGGCAGAGGAACATGATCCTGGTCGACCCAAATCCAAAAACCAAGACCCACCACCCCGACAGCGGCGCAGGTTCAAAACTTTCTAAAAGTTCTTTGAGGTAGGAGGGCAACTTACAGAACTTACACCATCAGCCACTGGACAATCATCAAACAACTACAAATTGTGGGTTGCACCAGTTAGGGGAAAACCTACGCTTGCTGGTGCTTGGGAACACCTATGAACACCACGATGTGCCACGAGAAGGAACTTCTGTCCAGCAACACCAACCAATCGGACGCCCAAGGCCAACTGCTCCTTTTGCCACTCCAGAACTGCGCTCGGCGCTAGGTCCTGTCGGTCTTCAGAGTTCTTCGTCGCAAAACTGCGTGGCAAATCCATCAAAAAGTGCCTAAGGCTTTGCCAGTGGCGAGATTAAAACTGTTCCAACCGGACTGGCAGCAGTTTTCGCACAAGGACTGCTTGCCTCCCTCTAGGACTAGCTGCTTCCGAAGCCTCCGCTGCGTATGAATCGGCACCAAGGAGCCAAGAGCAGCCGGTGATCACCGGGTACATCCGCTCTCGCGCCCCGCACTCGGCTAAGCCTTGCTCCGCTCGGGGAGGTAGAACGGAAGGTTTTTGTTTGTTCTTCCTTTTGCTCCCTTTGTAGAAAGGAAGGAACTTCCACGCGACATGGGGCAGGATCCGCATGATGGTGCAGCGTCACAGCAAGCTCTCTACCAGTGTGGAAGCACAGTAGAAGCCGCTCTCTCGGTCTGAATGCCGTTCATCCTTTAGATCAGACCGCACGGCCATTTTCTCATCTTCACTGGCCTGCCAGTGGGGGTCCCTCTCGCTTCAAGTTCGCCTTCTCCAATCGAATTGCTCCCAGCTTCGCGTTGTGTTGGGACCAAAGCTCATTCACAGCAGAGTGAATGGTACTGTTCCAATGTCCTTGGCTTCTGGCAACTTAAAACAAATCTGTATCACTTCACTTTACTATACCACTGCAACGGTTTGTAGTAATTATGACTGGACTGGAATCTCTTGTTTTTTGGTCTCGAATCGCAAAACATTGCAAAACCACGGGTCAATTTGGGCAAAGGTCAACCGAAGCCAATGACAAAGACCCACTTGTGACGGGCCGTTTGCTGAACTCTTGACCTTCTACGCTCCCGAAAACTAACATGGACCCGGGTCGACTGGCACCCTCAAAGACTGTTTTCCTCGACAAACCAGTGGCTTTCAAGGTCTATTTAAGTTTTCATTGGGGTAACTCAGTAGCGATCAGTAGCGCCTCTCCGCCAATGGTCTAGTACTTGGTCTAGTCTATTCGTCTTACCATTTGGTTTTCGGTCCAAAGGCAGGAAGGCAGCCCCCCGTCCGCCGAAAACAAAGGTCACACGTTTTTGGAGTCGGCTTCGACCGATTCGAGAGCTCCCAAGCTCCCAGCCAGCTTGGAAGTGTTTTGATTGGAAGACGCTACGGCCGAACTGGCGTCGCACTTCCTTTTTTGTGCGTGGCCGACGTGGTGCACTGTATACTTATAGTGGGCAGTGGAAATTCCATCTGCAGAAGTGGCTCGCGGACCAAAGACAGGTTCTGGTGGAATTCTTATTTGACGGCCCAAACGTAGATGCCGTTCTGCATGGATTCCTCCCAAAGTGTGCTGGTTCTTCTGTTTCACCTACCTCTGGGTGGTCACGAGACCGTCTTACACCGTGGTTAAACGTTCAATGCACCTGTTCCTAGTAGCGAACCTTGTTACTACTAGTAAGGCACTTGTTACTACTAGCGATGCACCTGTTCCTAGTAGCTTATTGTTACTACTTCACCAAGCTGCGGACTTGCATCAGGGTCATGTGAAATAATCCCTCTCGCTGCTCTTTGGGACCTTCCAACTCCTTCTCGAAAGGCCTGGGACACACGTCTGACCCTGTGAGACCGAGGCGAGACGCGAGACGTAGCGATGGCCATTGGCCTTCCGAAGCAGATGTCAACCTTCCACGTGTTTGGTGGGGGAGCTTTTGACTCAAAAGCCACAGCATTAGCATTCAAAGAAGCCCAGCACTCCAGAGGGTCCTGCTTTTCAAGAGGAGTCAACATCTTTGCAAGTTGTCAATGTGGTATATTATGGTATATTAGTATATAATATTGGTCGTATAACATAATTAGTGGTGCATATAGTGGCACCCTCCACTCCCCCCCAAAAAAGAGCGAGAGAGTGTACTGTGGAGCCCTCCAATCCCTCCAACAATTCTTTGGACTCAGATTATTAAGACATGAGGACGACCTTCTGCGTCGTCTGCTCTCGGGTTCGATGGGGTTCTGTGGGTAAAATGCTTGGTCCCTTGAACCTGATCCCAACGCGACCAAACGTATGGAGGAAGCGACAACACATCTGGGCAGGGTGGATGGACAGTTGTTGGTGCAACAAATAAAAATCCCTCCAAACTCACACTTTTGACTTGAGACCAAACCAAACTACTACTTGGCTAGAACATTGAAGGAACAGCCTGCTTGAAGCTGTTGCCTTCTGCTTCAGGCACTGAACCAGTCCTGAGTCCCTCCACGAGTCCCTCCTTCCCCGTCCATCCCGACAGCCTTAACGACCTGAAGAGTGCCTCCTGCGAGGTCTTGTCGGGTGCCAATGCCAGAAACACCGCGGGCGAGGCCGCTCCGGGCTCACCGCCACGATGGGAGCAAAGGACCAAGTCGTGGAATCGAATCTCCAGTGGAGAAAACTGGAAGGCCTGCAATGTGGGTCCACGTCTTGGACCCGAATGCGGCGATGCGAATGGCTTTTTAGCGACTTTTGGTTTCGTCTTGCTTGGGCGAGGATGTGGGCAGATCTTGGAGGTACGACACCTCCAACGTTTCTGCTGTGAAATAGCGGAGCTGGACGTGGCAAATGTCTAGGTCCTTCACGCGTCCCTTCCAGGCTCACCAGTCCATCCCCAAAAAATTCTGAGTTTCACGAGTTTCACCTGTTTCCAACGCATGCTTTTCCAGGCGCTTCTGTTCTATCTCTTTTGTTCGGAAGTCACTGTAACAAATGAGCTGTGTTGTAAACGTCTGAAATCCCGGCACCAAACAAGGCAACGCTTACGCCGCATCTTACGTTTTGCTTACGCGCGCACAGTTTTGCTTACGCGGAATAAACCGGCTTACGCAGACCTTACGCTGGACATTTTTAGTACCCGGCCACAGCCCCAGCTTACGCGCAGCAACTTTTACCTGCAGGAACCGCAGCGTTTCTAGGCAGCATCAAGCAGTAGAAGATGATGACGTGGACGAAGAAGATGAAGCCGATGAAGACGCAGCAACAGAAGAAGCCCGCAGATGACGAAGTTGACGACGCTTCTTGGCAGCACCTCTGCTGAGCGCGTGGGCATGACAGACAGACTGGGCACCACTGATAGCGGACAGGCCAGGAAGGACAGATTGACATCTAGAGAAAGCCTTGTTCAGCAAGAGGTGTGCTTCATCCAGAGAAGGGCAATGTTGTTCCAAAATGTCCGAGACGGTCTTTGCGACAAGTCCCTGGCGCTCTGCACCAAGTTGCGAAAATGATTTGTGTTTGGGAGACATGGGCAACTACTGGCAAAAGCAGCTTTGGCTTACGCGCCGCTTACGCGGACCTTACGCGGATTTTGGCTTCCAACCCGGAAACAAAGTTCGGAGGTGAAGGTCTTGAAAAAGGTATGACACTATGGGCACATACATTACAGTGTTGCTGTTTCCATCCGATAATACAGTGCAGTTGTTAAAACTCCTTTTCTTGGTGGACAATCCTTTTCATTGCGGGCTTTATCATGATTTCGTTTTCCATGCAATTCAATCTTGCAGAATCATCAGAATCACATTCGACCTGCAGCATGGAGCTTGCCGCCACTTGAGGAAACAAATATCCAGCAACCTGACAGTGATCCCATGGATGTATGTTAAGCCCAAAACTGCCATTTCACAAATCACCAAAAATCTCTTACGCCAACAACATTGGCTAAAATTGCTTACGCGGGCTTACGCCCACTAGTGTTTTGCTTACGCCACGGGTCCTTACAAGGATCTCCTTACTTGACATGACAACTGAGGTTTAAAACGTGGCTCAAATGGACATCAATCTATTGAAGCCCCGCCCCTCCTTCTGATCGACGGAATGTGTCCAACTCCTGAGGCTTTTGATGGCTTTTGATTCCGGGTTGCCCACCACCCCCGCGCCTCCAGTGCTGACTCGAACGCGCGGAGCCTCCGCGTGCTACCTCTCGCACGAGACGTCTCCGTCTCCGTGCGCTGGTCGTCCTGGCAGCAGCCATAGGCCCAGGTCATGTGAGGCGTCTTGGCCTCGAAGTCGATGGCCGCCACCGGGACCTCGACGGCGGCACACGGCTCGCTCTGCTGCGCGCCAGGCAACAGGCTGCGCCAACAGGCAACAGGCAAACGGTGGTGGGTGTAGGAACACCAAAAGTGAGAAGTGCGACAGTCTCAGGCACAAACCGGACCGGTTTGTGCTGGTCAAGTACGACCCCCAATGAACAATGTGAAACACACCTCAAGCACATGAACATTGTTATCATTGTTAGGTAGATTTTACTTTAACTTCACACCACCCACAGTCTTGCTGTAGCATCGATGAGCCCGCTTCGACGTCCTACGCATCGAAATGTGGTTGGCCTGCTGTGCTCGTCCCCCCACCTGCTGTCTCAAAAGCATCATGAGTTCCTCCCAGGCATTCTTCAGTCCGCTATCGCCCACCAAGGCCACAGACTCCTGCAGCTTCGGCTTGGAGGAAGAAGCGCAGCGGGAGAGGGAGCAAGAGGCAAAGAGCCAACGCTTCAAACCTCGGTGGCAAGGCAAGACACGTCGCAAAAGTCGCTCCTCGGCGGCTTTGGTGGTCAACGAAAAGGAGTGGCTGACCGCGGGTAGCATCCACCAGGCGGTTGTCCAACCATGTCCACCGGAAGAAAAGAGAGCGAGAGAGAAATAGTCTTGTACACAACCTCTAAGGATCCAAGCACCCTCTGAGAAGGTATTTGGGGTTTGGAGGGTCCCTCTTGAGGAGGTACTTGGATCCCTAGGGAACGTGTGTTGGTTTGCTTTTGAGGTTTTGCAACATGATCCACAGCGTAGAATACGCCTCGCTTGCCATCGAATCCTCCCCGATGTCAACAAAGACTTGTAGAAACGACACTCCCTGAAACAATCATGGTTACGTAGATGGCATGGCCCCCGGAAGACCAATTTTCTATACGAGGCTGATCTGCTCAGCTTCCATGATTGTTTGAGGGAGGGTTGTCTTCCACCGCCACTGCCGGAGTAGATGAACAGAGTTGGTCCATTTCCCGGTGCGGTCTCCCCACTCCGCGGCCCAAACTCCTTTCTGATCGATTGGGCCGACGGCCCAATTGAACATAACATGGGTTCAGCGGTTCAGTTGGATCATAGCCTTTTGACCCCACATGATGGAAACCATGATCCTTCTATATTCTTCTGACAGTCTCTATTTCTCTGAGCCACATGTGCTCTCTACCGCACACTCTTGCACTGATGCATCCAAGAGCTCATTCAACTCTGGCCACAGCTCCTGCTTGGTTGACGCCAGCTGTGCCAGCTGCGCCCCAAACACCACAGTGATCATTGCTCGCATCATGCGAGAAGCGCTAACATCCCTCAGGGATATGGCTTCTACTCTTGAGCAACAAGCATGTATCATTTAAGGCTTCCGGAGATCAGAGGAGGGAACGTATATCAAACATGGGAGACTTGGGGCATGCTTTGGACATGTTAGGCCCTTGCTGGTTGCAAGTGTTTTTCCGGTATCTACCGGGAACCTCACATGATGATTGGTGGATCACCGTCCGATCACCGGAAGCCACGGCTGGCATTGTCAAGTCCTCAAAAAACTCCCATGGACCCTGAAAGCCATTGGTTTGTAAAGGACACCCGTCGTTCCCTGAGAGGTGCCACTCGCTCTCTTCTGGGTTCATGTGGGTCCGGTCCACTCGCTCTCTCCCCGTGGTGTTCTGGGTCAAGTCACTGGGCACGAGACGTCTCACATCTCCCCGGGTCTCTGAGTGTCGACCTCTCAGGGTATTTGTGGCACACGACCTCTCTGTGCCCTGAAATGGGCGGACGGTCCCATGCCGTGACGGACGCTCAGCACTCGAAAAATGCTCACCATGCCAGACGAAAACACAAGCTTTCACCACTCGAAAGGGATCAGTTGCGAGGCGAACAAGGGGGTTCACAACATCTGGTTAAAAGGTTTGTTGAGGACACAAGCCAACACCCGAAAAAGACATCGGAAAATCTTCTCTTTTGGTGGAGTGCGAAAGAAGGTACTTGAATCTTCGGTGTCGAACCTCTTCAATTTGTCGCATGCTCAAGAAAACCCAAACAGGCCAAATCCCCCAGCTCTGAAAACATGATCGAACAAACAAGGTACACATACACACACAATCACACACACAAAACCACCATGTCATACATATTTGCCCACCAATCTCCACTCCATTGATTTCGCCCATCAACCGCAAAACCATGCAAACCCCCACAAACATCCGCATCTTCCGCGCGGCCGCTGGGCGCCTGTCTTTGCGCTTCCGCGGCGTCTCTTGGCGCTTGCGGCGCAGGGCCTCCCGCGCGCGCTGCAGCCGCAGCTGCTGCTTGGGGTTGAGCTCCTGCGGAGGCACCGCACCACGGCTGCGGTGCCGAAAGGTGGGTGGAGAGTCGCGAAAGCTCCAAGCCAGACGGAGCAGCAGTTGGGCGGGGAAGTTGAGGTTTGACCCAGTTCTGATCTGGAACTAAATCTGGAAGAGGGAGTGGATCCTTCAATTGCAAGGCGGACTACTGCTGAGCCGTGAAAATCTAAAGGAGTTATCTTCAATTCAGTGGCCAGTCTGGAAAGCACCTCCCAGTCCCGTCTGACGCAATGTGCTCAATAAACACCGTCCTAGAGTCGACCCAACTGGGTCATGAACATGGGTGCTTGGACAGTGTTTCGATGCCTATACAATACTTCAATTTTCCAGCGTGATATCGACGCGGGAACTGGGGGGATATCGGCGCGGCGCTGATAATCTGGGTCTCGGGGGATATCGGTGTATCGGTGTATCGGTGCGGCGCAGATTTGGAACCCGCGGTGCCGGCACAATGCAATTTTCCGTTCAAGAAAGGAACTTGACCGTAATCCACAAGAACTGCAATCTCGCAAATCTACAAGACAACCCCCAAGGAGTATTGATTGGTCCAAATCCCCGGTGGGAATGCGATTCAGACTGGGTACATGGTTTGCAGCCAAGAAATTGGGATAGAAACCTAGGGGCCAACATCAAAATGCAGCTGGATGAAAACCTGGGGCAGACCCCACGGATCAGCAACTGCAATTTTCAAAATCTCCGGCAACTATCTTTCGGGAACGCTGGTTAAAAACCTTAAGGCCAAGTCCTCGTGACAAAATATGCATGTCTGTCTATTTTCGATCTTTGTCAGCCGGGTCGAGGGAACGTTTTTTCGAGGATCCTCAGATTTGTCCAAATATGCGCAATTTTAGGTTACATACATATATAGTTCTTATCTGTCCTCCATGTTCTTTGTTTGCGTTCATGTCTGCCGGGACACACAAGCGCCATTCCAAAAAGCACGGCATCTATGGGAACCTTCGGCTAGCTTCTGTGAGGACTGCAAATGCCATTGTAAGAAACTTTGTGCCCTGGCCGGTCCGGCAAAGCTGAAAAAGATTTCGTTTGTTTGGTGCTGTCAAGTGTCGTTCATTTTGTAGACTACAAAAGTTTTTTTGGCAACACCTCTCGGACGAGGCCGCGCTGTGCCGGGCAGTGCATGGTGTCCGGAACTTCTATTGGGTCATCGAGCAGCCACTGTCCAGCACAATGTTCACAATGCCAGAGGTCGCATTTGTGACAGGACTCTGGGGATTTTGGCTTGTTTCCACATGGCTTGGCCTTTTTGGCCACGAACTGCAGAAGCCGACCAAATTGCTCACGAACATGCCTGGTGCACAGAAGCACCTGATTCAGATATACAGGCTTTTGATGTCCTCCAAACTCACAAACATGTTGTTTTTTGTTCTTCACACTTTCATTCTTAATTTGAGGCAATATGCATGCAATACTGCCCAGGATCAAGCGGACCATGACGAAGAAACGCAGAGCTGCACACAAGAAACGACAGGCTAAGATGCAACAAGAACGACGTCAACGTGGACAGCGTGACAAAGAATTCTACAGGTTGGTGTCCAACTTTTGTTTTACTTGGTTCACAGTGATGATGGCCCATTGCCTGTTGTTGGATTCGTAAGGGCTGTAAAGATTTAAATTTTGGTTGAAAACCATTGGCCTGAGATGCAGGAGGTCCATTAGGATAAAAACCTGAATCCTGGGCTTCGGTTGCTGTTGCACTGCCCGCGCAATAGGAGAATTAGGGGGGAAATCCCTTTTTTTGGCTGGAATCATGAGACGCATGGAGCTTTTGAAAACAGCAGAAGTTGAGAAAACAGGATTTCATTAAGGTTGTAAGGCTTTTACAAAGAGTATTTTGGTAAACCTTTTGCTGTTTGCTTGTGAGCATTTGCAGCTTTTACAGTCTCTGCTCGACATGGCGATAGAAACGCATGCTGTATATACAACATAGGATTGCATAGAGCCACGTGTGATATCACAGTTTATATCCAATCTATATAATATTTCTGAGAGAGAGAGAGAGAGAGGAGCGAGAGTGAGCGACAGAGCGCGAGCGTGAGAGAGGCAGAGGCAGAAGGTCCATTAGGATAAAAACCTGAATCCTGGATATCCTGGGCTTCGTGTGCTGTTACACTGCCCCGTGCAATGAGAGAATTAGGGGTGGAATCCCTTTGTTTGGTTGGAATCGTGAAAAGGTAATGTTTTTGGTGTTTTTGAGCAGGTGCAAATTTTATACACATTGCTTATTAAAAAACATTGATTTGAATACTTTTTCTTCAAATCCTAGGCATCTACCCTGTAGAGGCC